TAGTTTCTTAAAGGTTAGAAGCAACCTATGCGCACAGAGCACTAAACGGCCTACCCGATCTATCGGAAGCACAACCCCTTACTACATTAAAGCGCACCGGCCTCCCTTTGAGTGGATCTCTTGCCCACGGAGGATTCGGCAAGAGTGCGGATTGGCCCTCTGGAAACACAGGCTCACTGAATTATGCAGACGTTCCAGATGAGGGCACACTGCACTCCACGTTTCGTATCCAAAAAATCCTGTCCACTCTACCATCATCTCGTCGGAAGAGTGGGAAGCTGGGCAGCTCTCAGGGGCAGACACAGGTTTTCCAAAACTCCTCATTTTCACCTGAAAGCTCAGATTTTATTCCGGCCACGCATCCTGTCAGTCTTCTTCCTTGAAGTGACAGCTCATCGTTTGTTCTGGAGGAAACGTCTGCCGGAGACGCCAGCCTGAGCACCCAGAGTCGCCGTTAGCCTCCTTTCGGGTCCAGCGCGGGCGCCCCGCGAGCAGCAGGTGGCCCAGCCAGGGCCCCGCAGGGCTCTTCCCAGGGCCACCCGCCACGTGGTAGGGGACGGCGGGCGCCAAGGAGGCGAGATCTGACACAGCCCATACTTGTTACGGTGTCACCAGGGGCATCGTCAAGTGGGGTGGAACTGTTCGCCGTGATGGCACAGCGCAGGGAAACAGCAGCCCAGCACCGGCTGGGCGTGACTCACGCCCTCGCCACTCCCCTCGCCACTTCTGCACCATCCGCTCAGATCCCAACGCAGAGACCAGGAAAGGCCACTGCCACCTTGCACTGCTATCATTAGGTCATCTCCGCACCCACTGTGGGGCCCAAACTCACGACCCTGAGATCCAGAGTCGCACGCTGCACTTGTATTGTTATCAAAAAAGGGGAGGGGGAGCCCGGAGCCCACCGCCCACCGCGGGAACAGCTGAGCCGCTCCCTTGGCACAGTTCTCTGCTTTTATATCCCTGCCACCGCCCCGGCCGTCTTCCCTACACATTTGGTTTTAGACGCGGGGGCCTCACAATGTGAATTTTCAGTCACTGTGATACCATTGTCTTTGTTTCAACTAGGCTTTGTTTCTCAAGTTCAACTTCCCTCATCGCGAGCCCCGTAACTCAGGCCCCTTGGCAAGCCATTTATTTAACTCAAGCCTCAGTTTCCTCAACCACCACACAGAGATAATAATCCCCAGCCAGTGTAAAGGACACGCCCTGTGCAGAAGCCCCTCCCCCCTCCAGTCACTTTGTCCTCGGTACATGTCCACCATGTACCAAGCACCATCCCGTGTGCTAGCATCGACGAGGTCTCAGCCTTACGACAAAACTTCCGTTCTGGGGGTGGGGATGTAGTGGAAAATACCAGAGAAAGAGAGAGCGATCATGAGCGGCTGGGGAGCTGCTTTCGAGGAGGTGATGGGAGAAGGCCTCTCAGCGGCTGACTGTGGAGGTCACGGGGAGCCAGTTACCAAGAGCAGAGGGGGGTGTGTCCCAGGCCTTTCCATCGAGGAAGCAGAAAAGGCAGGGCCAGACCACAAAGTGAACCGGGGTGAGGAATCTGCACTGAGCTCCAAGCACTCGGGAAGCCAGGAGCGGTCCCTCCGGGTCAGAACGACTGTGGCGGAGACCAGTCAGGACGCAAGCACAGCCTTCCAGGTGAAACATGGTAGCTGGCTGGGCCAGGCTCGCGACAGGCAGAGACAAAATGAGGCGATCCCATGTAAGATGCACTTTGGAGGCCAAGTCGACAGGCTCTACTCATGAGCTGGACAGGGCCACGAGGAGAAGGAGAGGAAAGAATGAAGGGTACATTCTGGATTTATAGCTTGAACACCCGAGTGGGGGTTGAGGCAAAGCAGGCATTCATCGTTCTCTACCTACTCCTCCGGCACACTTGTAGGCACCGTGTGTGTGGCAGTGGTTTTCCTTCAGGTTTCTGATTCCGTCCCACAGGTGCAAGGCAAAGATCTAACTGAGACCAACTGTCCCCACTCGCTCCCTTTCCAGGGGACAAATGAACTCTGATCGCCATAAAGCATCACGGTAAAACACAAACGGGAACATACATACACATCGGCGTCAGCCATAGGCCCGCGAATTTTGAACCGCGAATCATTTACGTAAGTCTAATTATTTGAAAATGATAAGGCAAAACTGCTATTGATGCAAATACGTTTCAATTCACTAAAAGCAACAGAATTAACCAAACAACAAACTAATTTGATAATAACAGTATTAAACAGTAACTTAGTGGGGCGCCTGGGTGGCGCAGTCGGTTAAGCGTCTGGCTTCAGCCAGGTCACGATCTCGTGGTCCGTGAGTTCGAGCCCCGCATCAGGCTCTGGGCTGATGGCTCAGAGCCTGGAGCCTGTTTCCGATTCTATGTCTCCCTCTCTCTGCCCCTCCCCTGTTCATGCTCTGTCTCTCTCTGTCCCAAAAATAAATAAACGTTGAAAAAAAAATTAAAAAAAAAAAAAGAGTAACTTAGTAACTAAAATGCAATAATAGTGGCATTTGAAAGGCAGCGCGGATTCCCCCCCCCCCCCCCAAAAATGTGGGAATCCCAACTGAGAGTGGGCAAGGGCTGTGGCTCTGTCGGGATGCCAAACGTTGAGTGGCAGAAAACTTTTTACAGATGTCAGTCAACTTAGCAAAGATGTCAACTTTAGGGATCCTTAACAGCTTCACTAAATAGGACACCAAGAGGGAACCAGAAATACATACACAAAAGTATATGGAATTGCGTCTCGGTCACAGGGAGCAGCAAAGGCCAAGTCTGCGTTCAGGGCACTTCCCGGCCCACCAGGGCAAGTGGGACGCATAGGGCCTGCTCCGGGACAAGCAGGCCCACACATGTCGCCTTACCACAGGCTGCTCCATCAGACTGCTGGAGACAGCCTGGCCTGGACGCCTGTGTGCTCAAGATTCCTAGAATCAGAGCAGCTGCCTGGCGTGGCAGTCACGGAGCACAAGTCACAAGTCACACCCAGGGAACACGCTGGCCAGAACCAGCCCCACAAACCAGGTTTGTTCGGCCCGCAGCGTCAGTTGGACTCCTTCATGTCTTGTAACACCTGAAAGAGTGCCAACATTTTTAAATTGGAAGCCTTCACGTTAAAAAAAAAAAAAAAAGTCTTCTGGATTCTCAAAGAAAAAAGACAGAGAGAGAGAAAGGAAGAGAGATCTGGCTGAGGCCCAGCTGCCCCTTCAGCTGCTGTGGCCTGTGCTCTCCAGAGCCCACCTTCCAGAAAAATCAGACACGAGTCACATGTCGGCTGCCATTTATCTCCGGCCCTGTGCCATTCTTCTTATACCTGGCCTGTTTCCTTCACTCATGCTTCCTTCTAGTTCTTAGCATCATTTGGATTTGCAACTCTGTCCTGGCAGGGGTGCTGAGAGGTCTCGTTGGGGCTGAGTCAGAGGAAGAGACTACAAGGGCAGTTAGACGCCAAGCTCCCACACGCTGAACTGAAAATGTTATCTGCTGATTTTCTTCTTCATTAAACACCTTGCAAAAAGGTCAGACACGGCAAACGTTTCTCCCCTGGCTCTTTTCTAAGGAGTAATCTCAGTAATTACTCAGACTCAGAACTTTTCTTTCTCTTAATAACCTATGACGAGCTTATCAGAAAATGTTACCATTCACAAATTAATGTTTTAAGCAAAAGGTCAAAAATATATCCATTCATCAGCTTGAACAGTTTGAGCACGGGTTTAGGGTAGCAGAGGGAACCACATTTCACAAGGAAAAACATAAAAAATAAAAGTCTTCCAGATAGAATGGGGGAAAAAAATTATTAGACAGTTACTTTAAAACAAGTTCCTTTTCATGTATGCATAACAACCACACAAAAAATGTGAACCATATAATTAGTACCAAAGAAGTCCCTAAGACAGACTTTGTACAATCTCTTCCAAAGACCGTTTCTTTTACTCCTTAAGCTGCTTTTGGATGAAATGAATTGTCCTAACCCAAATCAATCACCAAAGGACTGGTTACTAGGGACTGACCAAGCACAATTGCCGTAATGGTGATCTTCCATAGTTCAACATCATACATGAAAATATATGTAAGCCCAGAGCAATCACACCGTACTATAACAACTACCTCTCTTTTACCACTACGATGCTTAAATTTTAAAAAGGCAATCTTGAAGGAGAAAACAAATCACAAAAAGACAAATTTTAACTGTGCGTAGATGGGAAGGTTCCACCCGCTTGCTCCGGAGACCAGGAGGTAGACAGCGGTTAGTTAAGGGCAGGTTCACCAAGATTGGCTGTTTTCTTTCCTACTGGCCATTTGTAAGTCACTGTTCACACTCCAACACCATGGAGACCCCCTCAAACCTGGACCCAAGTTCCAACCCATCACCCTCTAACTCCACGGTGGGAGAAATTCTGTCTCCAAGCTACAGCAACGTGACACCACATATATGGAGGGAAAGTCTGGATCCAAGACCAGCTGTTTACAAGGCGGTATGATGAAGTTCATTGTAACCTTAAAACAACCCTGCATGAATTTGTTACTAGCTAAACATTTGCCAGTAATCTTGTTTCCCAGCATAGCATTTAACCTGGCTTGGACAATTAGGAAAAAAAAAAAAAAAAGCAAACTAACCACAGAAGTAGGCTCCCCACGTGGGTACAAGTCCTCTCTCTCCCAAGGCATCTTTCCGTCCTGTTAATAACAGCACTGAGTATACCAAAGAGTGTGTAAGCACTCGCAGTGCTGCACTTTCCAACACGGTTACCTTTTACTGTCCGAATTCGAACTCAGTTTGACTTAAATTAACACTGGCCGGTGCATAACCACTAACCAGAACAGACTTTTTCCATTTCCGACCCAACGCTGGAGTCTGAAATGGCTTGTGCTCTTTAAGTTGACTTGCAACGTGTGGCTGGGGAAATATGACCGCTGCTTCCCCCGAGGGCACTCGAGTGGCTCTGAACTTTCTGTGGAAGAATCTACCAGGGCCCAAGGGGGCGCGGTGGGAAAATCCACTTACCCGATCCTTCATCCTCCAGCTCTGAGCTAAGGATTTGGAGCCTTCGATTTTCTCACAGTGCCTCTTTTTCATAAAAGCCAAGGGCAGGTTCCAGTCTGTGAGGTCGGCCTCATCTTCCTCCCCGAGTCCCAGAAGAGGGGACTGCAGCATCTCGGACTCCATCGGGGGGGGAGGGGGTGGGGGAGTCCTTGGCAGCAAGCGCTCGAGAACCTCCAGCCTTAAAAACTAGCGTGTACCGGAGCGGTACATATAAGAAATAAGAAACAGGGAAGGGGGAGAGTGGAAAAAGAAACGAACGGGAAGTGTGCGGAGACCCCTACTCGGGCAAAAAAGTCTGACACCCTTCTCTCTAACTCTGCGCGGGAAGGCGGAGGGGGTAGGAAGAGCCGGGCGGCGGGGGGGGGGGGGGCGAAGACCGGGCGGACCAAGGAGGTCGGCGCGCACACACACGCACGCCCCCAGGCCCCACGCCACGGGCTGCTTCGGGGGCTGCACGTCCCAGGAGGGGCTGCGAGCGGGGCTGTCAGAGGCGTGGGAGACTTCAGGCCTCACGATGACCCTGCTCTCGGCCTCCAACGCCTCGGCCGATCCGAGGACAGGAAGGCCGCCCGCTCTCGGTGCCGGTTCGCCGACCGGGCGGAGGTCTCCGGCCGAGGGGGGGGAAGAGGTTCAGAGCTCGTGGGGTTTCCCGCAGCCACTCTCAGCCCTGCGGGTCCCGCACTCGCCGGAGCTGCTGCAACCAGAGCCAGGACCGGCCCATCGTGCTCGCCCGCAGCCGGCTCCTCGGCCCCGGATCCGCGCGGCCTGGACGGCCCCGGCCTTCGGCCCCGTGCCTCTCTCCTGCCTGAGAACGAGTCCTGAGGAGAGGGCGACGCGGAGGCGCGAAGAAGACAGGGACTGTGGGCTTATTGGGTTTGGAGAGTTCTGCCCTCTGGTTTGAAGCTACAGTGAAACTCCTCTCATCAGCACATCAAGGAGGACGCCATGTTGCCAAGCCCCAGCATGCATCGCGACCTACGGTGTGACCAACAGGCCAAACTTCCTCAGAACGTCCTGGCCGCGCTTCCCAGAATGCGAGGAGAGAAATTCGCACCCCCCCCCCCCGCTTCGTTACTATGGTTACCACAATTCAGCTTTCCAGAGTTTATAGCGTTCATTCAATAGATGCGCGATATCAAAGTCAATCCTATAAACGAAACTATGTCAATTTAGTTAATTTTGAAAAAAGCTTTTTATTGGTACAAACGGATCTACATGCTCCCGAAATTTAAGGAATTCACCCCCTTGTTGTTTCTTCCAGATTTTGAAAAGGCAGCAAAAGCAAGAACTATTGATAATATTACAAAAGAAGATGGTTGGGGGGGTGGGGGTTGCACGTAGTATCCTCCACAATATCAATCAGATTTTCTCCCCCCCACCCCCACCCCCCAGGGGAAAAACTAATTTCAACGATTACAATTTTTTTTGTTATTGAATCCATCCTATTTTCTGAGCAGCTTATCCTTCTTTTGATACAGCTTCATGTGCAAACAACTAAAAGCTACAGGTTTCTTTGCGTGGAGGCACGCCCCCTGCTTTATTCCTCTACTCAGAAAACATTGTTTATTTACAGTGTGTGCGGAACTCTGACCTCCTCTACTAGGAGGGAATAGAGAGCCGAATGCAGCATGTGGTGCCTGCCTTCAATAAAAACAGTGTTAGTGAGCCACACATGTTCCCAGTATATACTGCTTGGCAGGGAGCAAACAGACTGGTCTTCCCGTCTGCATGGGGCTTTGGCGCCTGGATCCCGATGTTGGCTGAATCACTCTCCACCTCTGTAACCTTGGTCAATTGCTTAACTATTTCAGCTTCAGTTTCCTCATGTATAAAACTGGGATAGGGCCTCCTGGGTGGCTCGGTGGGCTACGCGTCTGACTTCAGCTCAGGTCATGATCTTGCGGTCGGTCTGTGAGTTCAAGCCCCACATAGGGCTCTGCGCTGGCAGCTCAGAGCCTGGAGCCCGCTTGGGATTCTGTGTCTCCCTCTCTCTCTGCCCCTGCCCTGCCCACGCTCACTCTCTCTCTCTCTCTCTTTCTTAAAATTAAATAAACATTTAAAAAATTTCAAAGAAAAAACTGGGATAATGCCCACCTTGAAGGATACAATTAACCCGTGAAGGTGCCTAGTAATAGAACGCTGAATAGAATACTAACAATTAACTTCCCATAGCTAGAGTGAAACCTAGCAACACTGCCTGCCTTATTAATCTAAAACCTCCGACTGGACACGACAAGATACCTTGTTTCTCTGTGGTTGCCCAGGGCTTGGACACAAAGCGGGGATCCAGGGATCCGTATCAAAATCCTGACATTTGTGTTCCTTTCAACATTGGAATGAATAGTGCAATTCCAGATCTTTCACACCTAGCACGTAGTGCATGTTCCAAGCATTCGTTGCATTACTGCATCCCACTGAGCCTGATTCAACCTTTAAACCTCAGGGTAAATTCACCAAAAGACAGATGGAGGCTAAAACCTTCCTTTTCCCGGCTCCCTGGGTTGGCAAACTATCCCCACAAGCACCAGCAGAGGCTTTGGGACTGCAGCAGCAGCGTTAAACCCATTTATTCCTAACTACTCGGTGACTTGGGAAAACCCACTTAATCTGTGTGAGACTCAGCGTCTTCACCCACAAAGTGCGTGTCACCTGGGGAAATCATCACTCACCTTGTCCGATATTCTAAATGAAGATAGTAAAGGTGCTGATGATGGAACCCTAATCTGGCAGGCCTTCAGAATCACCAGGGAAACTATTCAAAAATAAAGATACCCGGGTCCCACTCCAGGCCTACTGAATCACGGGGAGGGGAAGACAGGGATTCAGGACTATATTTTGTAATCAGGGAACCCTGATGAGAGTTCAAATCAGTCTAGTTTGAGGATACTGGAAAACACTCTCTCTAAAGACATTAGACAACATTTTCCTCTAATGATTCCATCCCAGCCACATGGTGGGCCCTCAATAAAAATTTGTATCAGGGCTGCCTGGGTGGCTCAGTTGGTTAAGCATCTGACTTTGGCTCAGGTCATGACCTCACCGTTCCGGAGTTCGAGTCCTGCATCAGGCTCTGTGCTGACAGTTCAGAGCCTGAAGTCTGCTTTGGATCCTGTGTCTCCCTCTCTCTCTGCGCCTCTCCCATTCACACGCTGTCTCTATGTCTCTCTCAAAAAATAAGCATTAAAAAATTATTTAATTGTATCAAATAATGCTATGAAGAAATTATCCAATATTCCATCTAATAAATCAGAACAAGACTCACCCTCTCCCCCAAACTACAGAACAAACCACACCCACCATTGTTTTACAAACGTGACCCCAGGACCAAGAAACCATTTGGGGTCCACGTCCTAGGCCGAAGGTCAGGATACACGTGTTCCGGCCCCCAGTCCGGCACCAATTCCCGCAGACCCCCCCAAAGCCTGTGACCTCCTCTGCCCTCAGTCTCCACATCTGTGACATGAGACACTTGAAGAAGGTGAATCTCTAGGATATTTCGGGTTCAAAACTCTGTGATTCATGTACAAACCAGAAAGGGGCTGGTGACAGCCCAGCTCCCAACCTGAAGTCTCAAGAACAGACTTGAATCATTTCATAGCATCCTGACATTTAAAAGAAACCTCGTCCCAGTGTGTTATGGATGACTCTATTCAAGTCCCAGATAAGCATTTGGAACTGTGGCTCCAGGCTTCTGGAAGGCGGTGAGCGTCGATGACTAATGACGAGCTGGAAATCCAAGGCCGACAATTTCTCACCTGGGTGATCTCATCACCACGGTGTGTGATCTGCTGGCCACCTGGGCCCGCCGTTCTGATCTCCAGTGTCCAATTCTTCACAAGCAAGGACATCTCATGCTTCCCACAAAACCTCTACATAAGCTACTTTAATCTTGAAAACAGTTTTATGAATCTCAAAAAAATGCACGAAACCTGGTCTGATTGTCCGGCTACAAAAATGTTGATGACGTGCCGCTGGAGGTGAACATCCGGCTCAGGACTGGGAAAGGAGGAGGTTTTAGGCCCAGCTCTCATCTGAAACAGCGGAATCACCTGTCACCTGCTTGTATGCAGAGAGGGGGGCCTCTTCCTGGAACGTGAAGGTAGACCAGATGACCTCTTCCAGCCCTAAAACTTGGGCTCTTTGGCAGCCAGAAGTCAGAGACACAGCAAAGTGAGCACAAGATCAAATATTAAAAAACCTGGACGTGTGGGTCCAATACAGTGGAAGTCAGGGGTAAATATGGGAGGAAAACAGGGAGGGGGCCTGAAAAATTGCCACAGTACAGGACATGTTGCCCAGCGAGAACGGGGAAGCTAGATTTTCACAGCCTTCAAGCTCAGCCGTCGGCCCCGCACAACCGACCGAATCTCTTCTCGAAACACAAGCCCGTCCAAGGCAGGAGTCCCATCCTCCAATATTGCAGCTTCTCCACCAAATCAATCAAGGGCAAGGAATGTGTTTTGTCATCAAGAATCGGGAGCGAGTCTGGAGGTCAAGAAAACTGGTGCTTCGCTGAGCTATACGGTTTTCCACGCAGGGAGACCGGCCAGCGCCCGTCCTTTCCAGACGAATCTGTGCTTAGCTTAAACCAAAATAGACATAAAGTACCCCGCTTTTGTCTGAGCATCATTACTCCGTTGTTAGCAAAATCCCAGCCACCCGCCCTGGGCAGGTCAGATGCGTTGTTGACGAAGTGAGAAGAGAAGGGAGCAGGAAGTGACAGCCTCAGCATCTCCTTCGGAAACGCAGGCCGCGAGACGCCAAATGCGCCTGTCTCCTTCTCCCCCCTTTCCTCCGTCTAAAAATACGGTGATATTTACGTACGTGAGCTTCCTCCCCTCCCGCACACCTCTCTGTTTCATGTTCTTGTTTCTGTACACTGAACATGCGTGGTTTGGGGAAGCAGAAACAACGGTCCGTTTAAAAAAGGAGGTGACCCCCGAGGAGCCTGGGGAACTACGGTAAAACGTGCTTCTTTTTGAACAAACTTTACCCACCCTGGGCATTTCTTCTTTCCGAACTGAGAGGCTTTGCAGCAGCAGCCTTAAGGATCCAGCCACAAGGCAGAGCCGAGGGGTAGAGAAAACAAGTGGACCCTTAACAGAAATGTGACCTTCACCACCCCCCCCACCCTTTCCTTCCCACTCTGGGGGCTGTTTTGTGTAGGGCAATGAAGAGCTTGCGTGGGGTACCTAGAATCTGGGGGCAAAGTGAGGCACAAAGGGGCTGGAAGCCAGTGTGCCCCGGGGCCCCTCCCCACTGGCACCGTGGCCCGCCAGTCTGGATAGCCTGGTGCACCCAGCTCCAAGCCTTTACAGGATCAGACGCCGCTGGGAATTCTTTATGGAGAAGGAGAACAGACGAAGGCCAGTGTCTTTCTTCCCCAGCTCCCAAGCTCCATCCATGGGTGCACTCTCCTTCCTCCCACAGGACCCCGGAGGTCGTCGAATGGCAGGGATATGGTCTATGCCCAGTACAGAGTGTTTGACAAGAAAAAATATATATATAAAGGAAAGCTTTTCTGATAGAGACTGTACTGAGAAAACTTGTTATCCAATAAAAAATATACAAACTGAATTTTATAACCTTTTATTTTAATAGAATTGCCTGCAATGAGATTCCACCTTTATGAAAATACAAATAATACCACCAACTGTCTCTTTTTAAACTCTCCATTTGTTATTTTATGTAATATTCACCTCTCATCAGCGATTCTCAGATTCTCGGCACGCACAAGACCCTGGGGGGAGCAAGGCTAGCCTGACCACGCCTCTGCCTTTAATAGGGGGGATTAGGGAAAATGCCTGTAGCTAAAATATTATAATCCTGGTAGTGAGTGAGTGTTTGTGATGAGCCAAGCCCTTTTCATGAGAATTAACTCATTTAATCCTCCTCATAGGCTCACGTAAAGGCTCCTGTTTTAGATCCGTCTTACCAGGAAGAAAATTGAGACACAGAACAATTAAATATCCTTCTCAGGATCTCTCTGCT